GTAGCTTCACTGTTCCACCGGCCTCCCTCTCATTCACACACGTCTTGGCTAACCTCTGTCTTACTACGTTTGACTTTTATTCCTCTTCTTTCAAGTGCATACCTCCACCTATCTAAGTTCTCTTCCACCTGTTCCATGTTCTCCCTACAGATCACAATGTCATCTGCAAACATCATAGTCCACAGGGATTCTTGCCTGACCTCATCTGTTAGTCGGTCCATCACCAAAGCAAGCAAGAAGGGGCTCAGAGCTGATCCTTGATGCACTCCCACCTCCACCTTGAAGCGTTCTGCTACTTCTACAGCACATCTCACCACTGGCCTGCTGCCCTCATACATGTCCTGTACCAATCTAACATACTTCTCTGCCACTCCAGATTTCCTCATGCAATACCACACCTCCTATCTTGGTACTCTGTCATATGCTTTTTCTAAATCCACACAGACACAATGGAGTTCTTTCTGAAACTCTCTGTATTTCTCTGTCAGCATCCTTAAAGCAAAGATGGCATCTGTGGTGCTCTTTCTCAGCATGAAACCATACTGCTGCTCACAGTCACCTCTCATCTAAGTCTAGCTTCCACAACTCTCTCCCAGATCTTCATTGTTTGACTCATCAACTTAATTCCCCTGTGGTTGCTACAACTCTATACATCACTTTTGTTCTTAAAAATGGGCACCAGCGCACTTCTTCTTCATTCCTCAGGCATTTTCTCACCCTCAAATATGCCATTGAATATTTGAGTCAAAAACCTCCTTGCCTTCACACTCTCCTCAGTTGTTAGAACATTACCATTCCTATATTTAACAAGTCTAACCTACTGCACATCCTTTCCAGCCTGATCCCTCTGTCTCACCAATTGGTACAAGTCCTTCTCACCCTCTTTATTGTCCAGCCTCCCATACAACTCATCACACGCCTTCTGCTTTGCCTCTTTGCTCTACATCACATCTCATTATATTCCTGTCTCCTCTCTTCAGTCCTCTCACTGTCACATTTCTTCTTGGCTAACCTCTTTCTTTGAAAAGGTTCCTGCACTTCACTATTCCACCACCAGGTTTCCTTATCATCTGTTCTCTGTCCAGATGACACACCAAGTATCTAAGTTCCTACCTGTCTCTCTAATTACTTTTGCTGTAGTAGCCCAGTCATCTGGAAGCTCTTTCTTACCACCCAGATCCTTAGTTCATCTTTGACTTCCTCAGAGCATTCTTCCTTCTTCAGCTTCCACCATTTGGTCTTCTGCTCTGATTTTACTCTTCTTCTCTTCTTCACAACAGTCATTCTACAAACAACCATCCGATGCTGTCTGGCCACGTTCTTCCCTGTCACAACCTTGCAGTCCCCAATATCCTATCAGGTTTCCTCTTCTACACAGAATGTAGTCTACCTGAATACTCCTTAGGTCACTCTATTCTTTCCTCATTAGGAAATAAGTGTTGTCTACAGCCATTTTCATTCTCTTGGCAAAATCCACCACTTTCTGTCCTTCCTGGTTTCTTTCCTTGACACCAAACCTAGGCATTACTTCCTCATCCTCTGTTTCCTTCACCAACATGTCCATTCAGGTTTGCTCCGATCACCACTCTCTCCTCCTTGGGAATGCTCTCTATCACTCCATCCAGATCCTTTCAAAATTTATTTTTCTCTACATCACATCCAATCTGTGAAGCATAACCACTGACAACGTTTAGCATCAGGACTTCTTCTTCTACCTTCAGGCACATCACCCTATCTGACACTCTTTTCACCTCTTCTACATTCTTTGCCAACTCCTCCTTCAGGACCACCCCTACTCCATTTCTCTTTCTATCCACACCATGGCAAAACAGTTTAAACCCTGCCCCAATGCTGCAAGACTTGCTACCCTTCCACTTGGTCTCTTGGAAATATAAAACATCTACCTTCCTTCTCTGCATCATGTCAGCCAGCCTGTCATTGCCCCCACATTTAAAGTTGCCACCCTCAGTCCTACATTCTTGACTTTCCTCTTCTCCCTCTGTCTCGACCTGTTTCCCTCATCCCTCTTCTGGTTTTTCATAAGATCTGACTCTTTTATTCATTTATTTTACTCATACATTAAAGATCAGCTGTATTAGAGTAAAGTCATACAGGATCATAGGAAAATCTGATTTATACCTCCATCAAAAATGCTCATTAGTTTGATGTTATTAAGAACTGATTCATGCATCTGATTACAACATAGCAGAAATTAAACATAAAATAATTAAAATAATGCAAATTGTTAAACTATCTGATCTATGACCTTTTTTCAAATTAGACATGAAAGATTTTTTATACTCTTTGGTTGTTTAAAGTGTGTTTTAGCATGGTTGTACAAATTGGAAATTTCTTACCTGCAGAGAAAAGCAATCAGCACAATTGCAATTTAAAAACATCAGAGAGAAATTGCAATGGCGAAGTTAAACTAACAAGGTCCAAAGGTGTCTACTGCTGTTCTAAAACAAAATAAAATGCCTTTCATTTTATGTGAACTTTTAAATATATTTATATACATATATATATATATATATATATATATATAAACTTGTGTTGCAAAGCAAAACAAATGTAACCTGAAAAACAAAATCTGATGCAAAACTACTCTGATGTATGATGTAAAAACTAAAAAGTTTCTGGTGGTTCAAGCAAAAATTATTTTATTTATATTTACACTGACCTGCCTTATCATCATTAGTTAGTTTGCCTTAGCACACCTAACTAGTTCTGCTTCACAACACAATTCGTGTGAGACCAGATCACCTTGGCCTTAAGTGAACATACCTATCTGATACAAAGGTAATATAGAGTTAAAGGGTTGTAAAACATAATTAAACTGTGATGAAACCTTAAAATTAGAGGGTCTAAAATAGTAGTGATCCTCTTTGGTCCTTGCTCAGATAATTTATTAGCTTGATTCCACAATGAGCATCTCTTCCCAATTCTCTGCTGTCTACTGCAGGTAAGATGCTGACTTCTGACAACTAAACAACAGAAGCAGGTTGTTTTCATCTCTGGTGTACAGTACTATCAGAAAGAGTATCAGTGAATGGGCAGTACTTTTAACAAACCATTAAAACCAAAACTCTGAATATTTAATGAATTGTGGTTCAGTAGATTTATCATGCTGAGCTAACCTGTTATAAAATACTCAATGAAATGGACTCGAACAAACATGACAAACAGGAAGAAGGGACAATTTGAACTTTAAGAATAAACAGGCAGAAATTTAATGTGTAATATGTCATAAACTGATGTAAACAAAACAATAAAGAAAATTAAGCTTAATAGGAAGGTAAGGTAGGAAATCAACTGACTGAGGAACCCAATAATATACATTGTAAACTAGGAGGGGGATTAGTGAGTGGAAACAGGTGAGAACAATATGAGATTATAGTTAAAAAAATTAAAAAAAACAGCAAGAATTAAAAAAATAAATAAAACTCAACAAAATAACAAGATTATTCAGTTCATAATGAAACATAACAGGGTCAAACAGTAATTCCAACCCAAGCCAAACACTGATACAACGTTCCAAACTATGACATCGTCAGGATCAAACGTATACTCTTTGTTTGTGTTTAAAAGTATTTGTTGTCATTGATTTGATCCAGCATCAGTTGTTAAGATTCGGGCATGTTTGGTATAATTTTCATCTCAGTTCATTGGTTTGACCTAAAGTAGAAAGGTGTATTACTGTTCCTGAGCTCAGAATTTTCTCCTCAAAGCTGAAATCCAGGTTTTAACGTCATATTTCCCACATAAAACCTACTTTGTACAAACCAATAAAGCTTTAGGTAGAAGGGCCAGGCAGAAGGACTTAGAGTTTGGGATTATTTTCATCTGAACTTGTAATTTTCATCAAGTGACTGTTTGCCCAGGTTTTACCTTTGTTTGCCTGTTTTATAGAAGGTCAAGGTCGAGGTTCTTTATTGTCATTCGCATCACACGTAGTACATGAGGTGGAACGAAGTCATGTGCACAATGTCCCAGTTACATCCAACAATAGCAAAAATATAAAGTGTAAAACGGAACAGTAAATAAGGATCTAAGCTATAAACTAAGATATAAGCTAAACGAACGCCAAGCGGTACACTAAAAGATCTAAGATATCCGTTAGTCACTGATAGTGTAAAACAATACACCGAACAACAGCAGCACAAACATGAGTCTTTGTGAGTACGAATGAATGAATACAGCAGCATGAAATAATCAGCAGCATGAGATCAGCAGCATGGATAATCAGCACCACATATCAACAATCAAAGTTGCATTACAGTGATTTTTTTTTTCTCCCAGTGATAATCCTGATTAGGGATTCACGAGTCTAACAGCTTCAGGGTAGAAGCTGTTCCTCAGTCTAGTGGTTCCACTCTTAATGCTCTTCAACCTCCTTCCTGAGGGAAGCAGGGCAAAAAGTGTGTGCTGGGTGAGTGGGGTCCTTCATGATGCAGTTGGCCCTCTTCCTGCATCTGGAGGTGTAGATGTTTTTGATGGGGGGGGGGGGGGGCTGACTCCAACAAACTTCTGTGCAGCCTTCACCACTCTCTGCAAAGCTTTTCTTTCTGCAGCTGTGCAGCCTCCATGCCACACGTTCATGCTGGAGCACAGGATGTTCTCCACTGCACACCTGTAGAAGGAGGTGAGGACTGTGCTTCCCAGTGCAGTCCACCTCAGCCACAAGGAAGTAGAGTCTCTGCTGTGCCTTCAGGCACGTGAAGGCAGATGTGTTTACCATGTTGACCCTAATGAGCCACTGCCAGCAGTTTTAACAGTCCTCTGGGCCCCATCATAATCGAGGCAGTTTGTCAGCTGACATTATTAAATGTTCTAAATGGCAATTGGGTTTAAAGAAAAGATGTTATGAGTTGGAGTTTCAGGCAGTCACCGCATTGGCACCTTGTGAGCATCCTTCAGAAATGTTCTTGTGTTCGTGTCGGTGCTGTTGTTCTCTCATAACCACCTATTTTTGTTTTGTATCTCCCTCCCCCTGATTCCAGCAGCCGTTCCTGGAAGTGAAGGTTCTCGAGACGACCAAGCGCTCTCGACGAAACCTGGGATTGGATTGTGACGAGCACTCCACCGAGTCTCGCTGCTGTCGCTACCCTTTGACGGTGGACTTCGAGGCCTTCGGTTGGGACTGGATCATTGCCCCCAAACGCTACAAAGCCAACTACTGTTCTGGCCAGTGCGAGTACATGTTCATGCAGAAATACCCGCACACCCACCTAGTGCAGCACGCCAACCCTCGCGGCTCTGCAGGGCCCTGCTGCACCCCGACCAAGATGTCCCCAATTAACATGCTTTACTTCAATGACAAGCAGCAGATCATTCATGGCAAGATCCCTGGGATGGTGGTGGATCGATGTGGCTGCTCTTAGGTTGTGGAAGGAGACACACACCTTGAATAAATATAGCTCTTCATCAAAACACCCAAAATCCTTACGGAGATCTCCCTTTCAGCACCAGATTTCACTTTTGCTCTGCTACAAAAACATCCAACTGGATTTCCTTTTATTTCAGTAATTACATTGATTCTGACTGTATAAAAAAATTATAAATGAAATAAGAATCAAAAAAGAACTGAGTGACGGAAATACAGTATATTACAAATTATTTGAAAAGGGCGTACTTGTGGAGCAGTTTCAGAAGAAGGTAACTGAAACAAAACTATGTCATAGCGTATGTGTTAGTTTTGTGGTTTTTGTTTTATGGCATTTTTGTGAAGTGTCCAAGTTAGTGGAATGTGATGACAGGAGACATAAGCATATTTCATGAAGCATTATCAGTTAGAAAATACTCAATTTTACAAAAACCACTTACTTACCACTTACGATGAAGAATTTTGCCACTCAAACATTTCCAAGGGGGCATGATCAAAATTATTTTGCAATCTATCACTTTAACAACGCAGAAAATATCACACAGTTTTCTGTGCAGAGGTTTTACTCATTGAGATACTCCTAGGACAAATTCAAAGTCTTGTTTACAGATGATTAGAGATCCATAACCAACGCATCCTCAATGGGACAAAAAGCTGTCTCACGATGGTCTAAACTTTGTGGAACACTCTCAAAACTCAATCAACAAAACTGCGAGCCTCTGAAATTCCCATGAGGAAATAGAGAACCACCACAAACGTTTTGAGTTGAGATGGTTTGAGATATTTTGGTCATGAATACCATTCGCTAGCTAGTTGCCAACAGTCACAGCCCAATGGGGTAATGTACTACCTTTAGCTCTTCAGTCCAGTCTGCAAAAGGAAAGTAATTAATGTTTATAACCTTTCTACTGAATCTCACATCAATCAGAACTGCCGCTGTAAGTCTGAACACCCAATAACATGTAACAGAATCTACACCTTAGCATGAACACACGAGTTTCATCATTCTGAAAGTACCTTAAATCCTGATAGAAGTTTACGTTTGTATGTGTTTGCATCTGTGTAAAATTTTACCTAAATAAAGGAGCAGTAGTTACATTACATTATTCCCATCAAGCTAGTTTCTAAATGTTGCATCAGTAGTTTCAGAAAGTGCAATCATTTAACTGCAATACTGTGCTCAAATTATTACCTTTCATAACTTACATACTACTACAAAGTGTTAAAATAAAATCAAGGTGTAAGCACTGTAACAGACTTTAGTTTAGAGAGTGTATTTGATTGCATTTTGAAATGCCCCCACCCACCTTAACCTCAACCGAGTCATCATCGTCACAATGGAGGAAACGATGTTAGTGCTTAAACTCAAGAGTAGATTAGTTTGCTTGAAGCTTGTCTTTGTCTCCTGGATGTCAAAGCAAAGATATCCTTTTGTTATAAACGAAAGCACTATGCTGTTGGATAAAGTGAGAGCCTTCTGACATTATATATAAATGATATATGTATATATTAAAAAAGGGGTACAAAAACCTTTTTTGGGGGGCACTCTACCTTACCAACAATAAATTTTGCACTATGGGACGTTCATGGCGTGAGGTGTTGTATGCGTTTTACCAAGCACAAGAGAGCTTGTACAGTATAGGATTAAAAAGAATTATTCAAGTTTCTGTGATAAGATATAAACTAGTGGGGAAATATCACTTCTTTTTTATACCATCCCACTTTCCTGACTTTGTCTGAAGCGGGGGCCTGTCCATACACCCAAATACTTGGATCCAGTCTTGAACCTGGACGTACTGTAACAGCAGCCTGAAAGGCCTCCATGCATGCGTAAAATGTGTGTCTGGATAAAAGAAATGCTTTAACAGGAAATGGCCCATCACTAATTTTAATCTGCTACCTTTTTAGAATAATACATCTTTTACTTTTAAACAATGTGTCATTTGCCATGTGTAGACGTTTTTACCTGTGTGTATTTGAAGTGAGAGCAGCCGTGTAAAAATGGGAGAAGTATCCAGGGATTGTTAGCCAAAGTAGACAATGACATGTTGTGTGCCGTTACCTTTGTGATTGCAGGAATATGCTAGACCATTTCAAAGGGAGGAATAGGCTGGTTTAGGGGCTGTGGTTGGAAAACAGTTCAACTGATCAGTTGTTATTTATTACTTATGATGAATTTCAAAGTCTGTCTACCTCACTTTAGCCTTCTAAAAGCCTTTCTTTTAAAGAAATAGAATTCAGATGTAAATCAGTGCAAACCCGTAACTCACAAGAGCCACCCCCATCCCCTCCAAAAGCGTAGATGTAAAGCACAGGGTCCCCTCGCTCTCAGGTTGTCGACAGAATGACGGTAGCGACTCTGGTCGTGTGGTCAAACAAAATAACTAGATGTGCCCCAGTCAAAGCTGTTGAGAGGTTATCGTTTGTGTGTTTAACTGGTATGTCTAAAAAGTTGTTTGTTGTTGTTTTTTTCCATATAAATTTATGAGAGTAACTATATATGTACGTACATACCCAGATGTTAAACTTTATCATGTTCTGGACAGGTTCACCGCTTCTAACGTGTTTCTCTTTTTCCCCCTTCGTTCCTCTGTTCTTTGTGTAGTAACAAAAATATCACCCCAACTTTGTAGTTCAATGGTTGTGCATAACTGTATTATTATTTTTTGCCTTTTGATGTTTATTTACTGTAATTTTTCTTTTGTACAATAAATCATTTATTTAGCTTACTGGATTTGTGTTATTTCCTCCTTGTTGATTCCAGTGTGAGCTGCTACAACAATGGAAAAAAATAAAAATAGCTGGACAACATGGATGCTGAACAAAATTCATCATGACCTATTTGTTGAATGATGAGCAGCAAATTCAAATTTCGGACATTTGTTGATTTGCTAACTTTGTCTTTTCTTAAATGTACTAATATTTCATAATCTTGGTGTTATCATGGGCAAATGTGCAGTTTTTCAATGTTTAAACATCAGGCTAACATGTTTTTAGTTAACAGTTGACCTCAAGTGGCAGACTGAGAAGACGACAGAGACAGAAATACAAAAAACAAGTGTCTTTATTTACAGGTGCAGGTTTTTGGGCTGTAAAGGAAGAGGGGACAAGGTGAGTATCTGGAAGTCTTTAGGTAATAATTCATTCAGAAGTAGAGTAAGTTTGTCTTACTGAAAATGTATTTCTTGTAGTTGGAGCCAGAAGGGAAGGCTGTGAGGTCCTAGGTTCCAGGAGGTCCTTAGTCGTAGAGAGAGGTGAGTACCGTTTGGAGAGAGGAGCAGGTTGATTTGAGGGTGAAGACTGGTTGTTCAGGGTGAAAGCTTTGGTTATACGTGGTACACAATCAGAATGAGTCGAAGTCGCAAGGAGGCCTTGGAAGGAAGAGTCCAGGACTTGGAAGTCTTTGTTGAAGATCACAAAGAAAGGTCTTTAGAGACAAAATGTCCGGAGACTGTTTAGTGGTTGTGCATTACCTTTACCATTGGTAGAATAATGTCCCAGCGCTGAAAACGTGTCTGGCAGAGGTTTTTATGCTCCTGCAGAGTAGTCCTCCAAATCAGGATCAGGTGAGGAGTGGTGGCTGATTGGGATCGGCTGCAGCTGTGGGAGAAAGTGGGTGGCAGAACCTAGAACTCCCACATAGGCATTGACACTGGCAGTGGATTGATTAAATATTGATCAAATACTTTATTTCAATGGCACTGCAAGCAGCAGCACAGTGGCTCAGGTGTCGCCTCGCAGCAAGAAGGTCGCTGGATCAAAGCCCGGCCAGGTGCCTTTCTGGGTGGAGTTTGCATATTTTATCTGTGCATGCGTGAGTTTTCTCCGGGTACTCCAGTTTCCTCCCACAGACCAAAAACATGCATGTTGGGCTGATTGGTAACTCTAAATTGTCCATAAGTGTGAGTGAGAGAGTGAATGGTTGTTTGTCTCTAAGTGACCCTGTGATGGACTGGAGACCTGTCCACCCTCCTCTTGCACAGTGATAGCTGGACATGGGCACCAGTGACCCCCGTGACCTAAAAAAGGATGACTCGGGTAAAGCTGATGAATGGATGGATGGATGCATGGATGGATGCATGGATGGACACTGAAAGCACAAGCATTAATCAGTGGACTGAAGTCATGTTACATTTCTGTTTGACTTGGAAGTCTGAAATTGAACCCGGGGAAGATGTCAAACCCTACTTAAAGGTATTCCAGCTGCCAACTGAAAAATATTTTATAATTTTTGTCTTTATTAATATAATTAACAATGAATATCAAAAACATGTGATAATGATTTCCGTTTTAAAGATCGCTAGTTTTGTCATCAGCTCAAAAGAAGACCCAAACTTTAGTTTGGAGAAGTCTGACTGAAAGTGGTCTTCATAAAAGATTCACCATAAGACAAGCCCAACAAATTCACTACAAACACAAGAACTGTGGTGCAGAAAACACGTCCTGTTTTGCTTACTGAGTTTCATATAAAATATTACTGGTAACAAACCACAGGCAACTCATTTCTCAATTCAAATAATCATCTAATGCAAAAGTGACAGAACTGGAACGTTAACAAAACAAAAGTAGCATGAACCACAGTGAAATCTTTGAGGTTGACTTTGCTTTAAACCAGCAGAGAGCTGCTTTAATCTTGATCCTACTTTAGGCAATTGCAGCATTATTACAATAAATAACTGTAATTGTGTTGAAAATTTCTTGCCCTCTTATAACCGTTACTTGTTGCAATTATGCACAATTTCAGTCAAAAGGTGGAAAAAATTTCATTCGATTGTTTTTTGTCGTATAATGTCAAGATTTGTGTGTGTGTGGGTGGGGTGTATTTTTTAAAGTTCATATTCTCAAGAAGAAAAAGGCACACATATATACATACCTTTAGCCACTGGTGACATCTTTCTTATTGGAAAACAGTAACAGGCAGCAGAGGAGGCAGGAAGCTGAATCAATGTGAGGCTAATTGGTGAAAGAGAGCGCTCAGAGGACAAAGATCTAGTGTGAGGGTTCTGCTTGCCATTATTTGGATTTCATATAAGATCCAGCCTGACCCAATTAATATGCCACCTGATAGGAGGGCCTCT